GCCTTGTTCAGAAAAATCTTTTACCTATGTCACTTATTCTCTATAGTCGTTAATTTGTCCTGTGAAGAATTTAAATCTCTAATCAAATGTTTTCGTCTAAATGTGAATGATTACGAAATATGGAGAATAAAACCCTGGAATTTGGTTAACTACGATAGCATCTGCAAACATTTCAAGAGTGAAAAGCCTTCTTTAGGTTTAAAGCTTTCAAATGAAAATAAAGAAAAAGACGAACCAACGAACTTAACAACGTACGATTAATCATAGGTTGATTTTTCCAGATAATGAATGAATAATTAAAGCTGTAATTAGTGATTAGAATTCAGACCGAATTTTGTGGTCCTGCAAATTACACTTGACTTTGACCTAGTTTTAGGGTACAATATATATTGGGGACCATTAAGCAAACATTTAACTTCAAAGACATTATTCGTAGAACAAAACAAGAGTTTGATTGATTTAAACAAACAAAATAAGTACATATAAAAAGGCAGATAATGAGGAAATAAATTAAAGAGAAGGCGACATGGAGAGAACATAAAAGAATTAAGTGGCTTTTTGGGTGATATGATTAATTGGATTTTTTTTTTATAATTTAAGGTTTAATGACGGTTATGATTATGTCTTGTACTTTAATTCTTCCTTAAAGCTAAAACTAAACCACCCAGATAACTCATAAATAGCTCAATATATTTTATTAGATTCATACACAAATTATTATATCAAACAATTTCTTTACGAGACTGCTGGATCGAGTTCATTGGTTCGGAACTTTTTGAGTCTAAATTCTGGAAGTTTTATTTTAATAAGGTACATAATGGGCTTAGTGTAACGTCTTGAAGGCCCAATTTAATTTGTAACAAATAAATGAATTTTGATTAACTTAACAGCCAACAAGATCCGCTGTAGCACACCGGCCAATTTCAAATAGATGAAATCTGGGTTCAACCCCCGGCAGCGGAATTCTTTTTAAATTTTCTAACGGACATTTTTATATCTTTTACAAACCACCAAAAAGGTAAAATTAGCTACGTATTTTAACTCACGATTTTTGTCATCATGCTCCAAACACCCATTAACATTTCTATAGAGAGTTTTGAGAATTATGCATAGTTTGGTAAAAATCAGGGGAGGTTCTGAGAGTGTGCAACCGTACATGGTCCATTTTTTTTAGTTAATTTTTATTGTAATTTATGGCCCAAAAATTATTAAAATTATATATAAAAAGGTCCAAAATTTTAGATTTTACCAAATATATTATTTAAAAATAAAATAAATTTTTTGCATAGGCCCAAAAAAATTTTTGGCATTTTTTGAGCCGCCCCTCGTAAAAATACAAAGGATTATTACCAGCAAGTTAGGATTACAAGACCAGCGTGAATGTCTATAAAAATATTTCTCTCATTGGTACATACTTCAATTCACTTGATCAGATACTCTCTCAAAGGAAATTTAAACACTAATAACTGATTCATATACTTCGATTCCTTTCATGAACACATTATCTCTAAGGAACTGAATCCACGAGTAAGAAAGAGTAAGTGTTAATACAAGTAAAGTGGCAAAACATATAATCCAAACATGTCAATAGATGATCATATGCAAATACCTCGTTATGGTCATGCACTAGAATTGGAGTATTAATCATTGAAGAGAAACCCAAAACTGGAATTCCCAAACTGCGAATATAGCGTGCATCCGTAGTCGAAGCCTAAAATTTCGGGTTTCGCGAGTTTTCCTCCAGTTGCTTCAACAGCTTGCTTGAAGATAAACCACCAAGGATTGGAATCATCAGTTTGAGTCATTATAAGGCTCCCTAAATGGACCTTTAACTTTCCTTTCTCTATTATCTAATGCAAAACAGAGTAATTAGAATACATAACATCTAAACATTATAACCAAGACTCGCCTTATATCGATTAATGGCAACCAACCAACCAACCAACACAGAAACCGCATATTTGTTTACCGAGTAGGTCATGTTTCTAATAGAAGGACCCCATTCTTCATCTATCCTTTTTTCAAAACATCTGGATCTGCCATTGGAGGCAACCTTAGATCATAACCAACTTCTGCCTTTGAAGGTTGCATATTCATCACAAATCCCTTGGAAAAAAACAAAACTTTCGCATACAACACTTCAAAGAAAAGAGCTTCGAAATTCATATGAAATAAGCTTACATTGGTGGAAGGAGTTCCGGCTTTGAGATAAACCGGATTGATAGAGACAACCTCTGAATAAGCAGCTTTCCCGGCTTTAACGATATCGAACTGCGTCTCCCTGAATCTAGCAATCAACTCAACACTCTTCATCAGATTCTCCATAGCTCCATTGTCATACAGCTTAGCTCCATGCCCTGGAATTCCTTCGGCTCGGATAATGAGATTCCACGGAGTCCGATCACCGTAGAAAAATCTATACTCATCTCCCGGACTCGCTTGCCCTTCGTCAATAGCGAATCCAACAATTCAACTCCTTGAACTCCAATGACACCGCGGACTTATCCATACCGTCAAATCCTCCAATCTCCTCTTCAGGAACGTAGGAGATATGAATAGTACGGAGAGGAGAGAAGCCTCTTGATTTCAAGTTCTTGATAGCTTCAAGATACTGAACACCGATACACTTATCGTCCTGGGCGCCATGAGCGTATATACGACCATCTGTACGGTGAGCTGAGAATGGTGGACGTAACCATTCCTCGAATTCAGCGGGAACAGATCGAGGTGAGAGTTGAAGAGAATCGATTGAAGTTGAGTGTTTGAACCGAACCATGTGACTATAAGGACTGGTTTTCCAGTGACGAACTCGATGGTTCGAGTAGTTAGACCAATTGACCTAGCTTGGTCAACAAGAGAGGAGATTGGTGCGGTGTAGTTAGGGTTAGGTTGAGCTGTATTGAACCTCAAGTAACGCTGGAATCGAGTGATCGGTGTATCTTCTTCTTCTTCACCGTGTGATT